GATTAGTGCTGTTTCTGATCAATAATAACATTAAGTATCTTGCATTTCTTGAAGGAATGGATATCACCCACTGTCTTTCATGTCAAAATTTTAGATACAAATCATCTTATGTAGAGCAATGGCTGAGTAGTAGCTGTTTTAGTCAAACCTTGAAATGTGCTCTAAATGTGCTGTTATTGCAACACATTTTAGCTCAATATCTGTGAAATGGAATAAGTTATAGTCATTTTTGTACAGTATTTGCTTAGGTTAATTAGTTGTGGTTGCCATTTTCAATTGAATTGACTCCAGAATGTTAATCAGTGGTAGATATACTGTATATCCAATGATTAAGTTGGAAAAGTTGGGATAAATTGCGCTCAGCGATACATAAGAAAATTTGCTAACAAACAAACAAAGATGACTTAATGGCTAAAGCTAATGTTTTAGACAAAGACCCATTGATTCATGCTCAATAATCCAGGTAGAAAAATCCAACATAGTTAAGTCAGGTCCTCTGGACGGTTTCTTTTTGTTGAAATGTTTCATCTTTCATCCAAAAGACGTCATCAGTCCGAGGAGCTGCAACAAATAGTCATAAATAGCACCTTCTCCTAGTAGTGGATCAAACAGTTTGATGGTGCTCAGATGGCTTCTGTTGTTTGCCCTCTCCCCCACCGACTCACTTGAGGCAATCATGGCCAAAGTGGTTCAAAACATCCTAATTACTGTAAAACAGGTTGAGCCACTAGGAGAAGGTGCTATGGCTGAGTTTGTTGCAGCTTCTCTGACTGATGAAGTCTTTTGGATCAAAGACGAAACATTTCAACAAAAAGAAACTGTCCAGAGGACCTGACTTAACTTTGTTTGATTTTAGACAGAGTTGTGTGCAGTGAGTAGCACTTCTAATATGTGCTGTCAATGGCTCTCAGCTACCACCACAGCAAACATTAGCACAATATCTGTAAAACTGGCTGAATTTGAGCCAGTTTCTATGTTTTCTGTCACGCTGGCTGTGGCGGCTATCTTAAACAGTAGCGCTCCAAATATTAATAATTTGGCAATCATTGGCAGTAAGTAGCTTGTTATGGAGTAAACGGAAATGTAACACTAGTAATAGAACAAAACTTTTGTCATAAAAGGTATAAAAAGGGTTAAAAAAAAAAAGGCTTCCCAAACAAAGTTGCTTTCTTTTTTCGACAAAACAATCCTGTGTTTTGCAGTGTTGCAACATGTTCATGCGTACGTTTGCACATTTGCATATATTATTCTTGGACCTCATGTCGTAAATTGATTATTTTCTGAGGTAGAGACTGGAAATTGTTAAAATTATCCAGTTTTTAGACAAACACATTTATTTAGAATCAATCTAATATTTTTCCCACCGGTTAGTAGCTTTGACAGGTTCCCAATAATGAATTTAGGATCTCAGTGAAAGAAAAATGGTGTGGGAAAAAAAAATAATAATTTGGATACACTCCCACTAAACATGGCCTGATAATAGCAGATGCTTTTGTTTTACGGGGTCATAAGATGAAAAGGTTGGCAATCAGGGAATCAGCCTAATGCAGCTGCATCGCATCACTATGATTACAGTATGTGCTGCTGCTGTGAAAAACACAGCTCAGTCTCTCTGGGGTTTCTGCTGTTGTCTGGGAGATTCTGGCTCTGAAGTGCTGCAATTCCCACATGCTAATCAAACTGTTTCATAGGTTTCCAATAGCTACTGAGAATTATGGTGATGCTGGGATGTTTTTAATGTTCTTAATAAGTAAAGACTTCTTTGGAATGCTATGCTTTGCCCTTTGAGTGTTACTGATGGGTATTTGAATAAATCAACACACACTATAAATATATTGTAATCCATATGTGTGCCCTTTCAGTGCTAAACCCAAAGAACATCAGGAAGGACTTCTAAGGCAGATCCATAGGAAAATTGATGTCTTCTTATAGGAGATGAAAAAAATAAGTCCCAGGGTGAACACCAGTCCATGTGAAAGCATCAAAGGGACTTCGTGGCATTGACTTGTGACCCCATTAATGAACTCTCAGAGGGCTAGGTGGAATTAAAAGGCCATATGACTTAAGTTTTCTCTCTGACTCTTGGAGCAGAGAAGTCAAGTCACTCCCTGAAACACTGAAAAATTTCTAAAGCCACAGCCTCATGGGAGAGATTCGGGGCCTCCAATTTCTCTTTCTTGTGTAGCTTTGACGTTTGCTTTATATTTAACTACACCACAAAGCCCTTAAGGGGACACAAGGACTCCAATTATTAAACGGGAAAGGAAACTGAAAAGTTGCTTTTCTTTCAACCTGACTTAAAGTGACAGCCAGGATTGTTTGAAGTGAGGTTCTGTGGAAAGGTTATGCACGATATTAGTTCTTTGAATGGACTCAGTTTTGAGATAAAAGTCATTCTGACTCTATCCACTAGCTAACGGCTAGCCCAAATGTGTCTAAAACTGATTACCGTCATCCTCCCAAAAAAACAACAACAACTTCAATCTCTAATGTATTATAAAAGTTTATACAAATATTACATTTCAAACATTTGCATTGCAAAATTATTTACATAAAAGTCTATAATTATTTACCAGCACAAATATTGGTATCTGCAAGTAGCACTTCTCATGCAGCTAGGGTTGCTACATGCACCAAGAGACAAAGTTTCATTATTTACAAGCTGTCTTGAATGCATCCTCATCCTGTCCATGTTTTCTGTGAAAAGGTGGTAATGGTTGGGTAAGACACTCGGGATCTAAACCAATTATGTTGTTTTGCCATTGGTAAGTGCGGCTCTACTTGGATCGCCTCTTTTTAGTCCTTCTCAGGTGTAGGTGATTTGCTACTACAATGGAGGCTGACCTGTTTCCCTGCTCTGTGGGCGGGATCGTATCTGGCCTTTTTGTGTTTTAGGCCATTTTGCTCGTTGTGGTCCTTAATCACCCTATAATTGTATTTGAATTTTGTTAGCTTATCTTGGCACTGTTTATACATCCAGGTGTAGCCATGCTGCGCTATCATTTCTAATAGCTCTTGGTAAATGTGTTTATAGCTTGTGGTTTTGTCTGTCAAAACAAAGAGGAAGTGGAGGTTCAGATGTAGTTTGCAGTTTTGCTGGGCAAGGTATCCAGTGATGTAACCCCAATGGCCAATCAATGGCTGCTGCCTGCTTATGTCAATACTGGCCCTTCGGAGCAGCTCGCTTGGCACCTCAAATAAGGTGATTCCATAAATCAAGCTGAGTGAGGTGGATAGAGACAGTGAGCAAACTCAACTGGAGCTGTGTGCAGAGCTGAGGAGAGTTGAGACAGTGGCAAAGTGCCATTAGAGACAGAGAAGGGCAGGTCTGTCTGTCTGGAACGTTAACAGCTTGTGTCAGTACAACCCTCATTTAAAACTGAAAGGTACAAAAGTACAGACTTGAGGGAGAAGATTGAAATTTGCAACCAAAAACTGTCAAGGAAAATTAATTTAAACAAGCTGTATGCCAGTGAATAGCAAATGTTTGTAGTTTCCATGATGAGTATTTTTTTCAACTGGAATAGAACAGGAAATGGAATTTGGATGGATGGATGGATGGATGGATGGATAGATGGATAGATGGATAGATGGATGGATGGATAGATGGATGGATGGATAGATGGATGGATGGATAGATGGATAGATGGATAGATGGATGGATAGATGGATAGATGGATAGATGGATAGATAGATAGATAGATAGATAGATAGATAGATAGATAGATAGATAGATAGATAGATAGATAGATAGATAGATAGATAGATAGATAGATAGATAGATAGATAGATAGATAGATAGACAGACAGACAGACAGACAGACAGACAGACAGACAGACAGACAGACAGACAGACAGACAGACAGACAGACAGACAGACAGACAGACAGACAGACATAGAGATCAGAAGGGCCTTCTTGGATCTTACTGTATCAACCCAGTTTTCAAAAGGAACAGGTTTGATAACACCTACACGCAGCCACACACCAAAAATGAAGTTGGACCATTGCCTTTTTTTTTTCCAAGTTATCCAGCACACAATGTTTACATATGGCGGTGGCCATCTTGGATTTTGGATTTTGAATGCTCGAAAGGATCCATCCTCACGCCTATATAAAACCCCACACCAAAATGAAAGTCGGTACTTCACTTATTTTTCAAGATAACCCCTTGGTAATAAAGGGCTTCAGATATGAAGGATGAATCCTAATATTTTTATCACCACCGGTACACCACTTGACAGGTGGTAGTTGTGGCCCAGCTGTAAAAGGTTTTTTTTTATTTTTCTGGATGAAATATTACAACCATTAACACAGCCTATGGGACATCCAGCATGAATAAAATATTTCTGCCAGAATAACCACATTATGCAAAACCGACAGTAGTTTTAGTGGGTTATAGGAAAAAATAATTACCTGAACCTCCATGAAATTTCTGCCAGTCTGGTCAGAAATAATTCATTTTGACAAACTGATGCCAATAAAAAAGCTATCTACCACAGGTAAGATAGTAATTGTTCACATCCATATAAAAAAAAAAACTGAATGCTTTATTTCATAAAGATTTAGAATATAGAAAAAAAGTCAACTTTTTTTTTTACCTCTAATATCTTCAAGTTAGCATTATGTTTCAAGCTTCATAGTTTAAGCAGACTCATAATGTTTTTATAAAGTTAATATTTGTGTTAATGTTAATAATATTAGTGAAAGCTGTGTGACTGCATTTGAAACGAAGCCTGAATAGACTATTGTAAAACCTTAACAACTTGTGTTCATATGAAATTCTAAAACAGCCGTTTCATATTCTGCTCATCCTGGAGGATTTTAGCTCTGGCTTGTCTCTTTTTGAATTGAAAAAATAGAGTTCTGTAGGAAATTTGCCCAAGGCATGTACAAAGTAGGATTTGCCTGTTCCGAATTTGTTTTCTTGCTGCAGATCAATACACCAAGACTGAGAAAGAGAAAAAAAAAACAAAGAGAGAATCACGGCAGGGAGCATACTTGGATCAGACAAGATAGCATCTGTCTTGGGTACAAACTGGTCACAGCGCAGTCCATGGTAGCCCTCTTTACACCTGCAACAGAGGGGGGAAAAACAGACAAAGAGACAGATTTAATGTTAGAAGTGAGACAATCCAAGCGAGAAGCATCAAAGCTCAGCGTGAAAACATCAGCTGAAGAGACTTTCAGATGAGAAAATATGAGAACAGGAAGCATATAGGCAGAAACAAATGGATGAATGGTACAAAGTGGAGTGCTCGCTGTGGGCTGAGATACTATGGGTGGAGTGAGAAGACGGAGAGGAAGAGGATGAGAGCTGGGCTGGACGAGCAGCGCCTGCAGAATAACAGATAGCACATGACAGACAGGAATGCCAGGTCCCTGTGGAAGAAATCAGGCTGGAGAGTTCTTGGCGTGATGCAGGCTCCACAAGATCTACAGTGAGGAGGAAGGCTGCCATGGCTGAAAGACTTAAATAAACAGTCCTGGCACAACGCAAATATTTCCCTCCATTGCCAAACAAATATGCATGCACTGCTCATGGCTGCAGATGTCTATACAATTATCGCACACATAACTACAGAAAATGTGTCATTTGGCTGTCTAATTGTAGAATTTTGCTTTGAATATGACTAGAAAAAAATGATTTAGTATAAACAAATCTCATCTTTTTTGTTCATTTCATTGAGGGGATGTAGCCTTTTTACAAAATTGAACTTTAATTACAATTTTTTTTATCTCATATTTGAACTCTTCAGTTTTTCAAAAATCATTGTTGTTGTTTTTTAACTAAACCTCAGCATTCTTGCTCTTTTTCCTCTTCTTATGCTACTACATGCACAACTGCAGAACGAAAAGCTTTGCAGAGAGTAGTGAAGGCTGCACAGAAGACTGTTCGAGTCAGTCTCCCCACCATCACAGACATCTTCACCTCTAGATGCAGGAAGAGGGCACCTGCATCGTGAAGGACCCCACTCACCCAGCACACACACTCTTTGCCCCGCTCCCCTCAGGAAGGAGGTTGAGGAGCATTAAGTGTAGAACCACTAGACTGAGGAACAGCTTCTACCCCAAGGCTGTTAAGACTCATGAATCTCTAACCAGAATAATCACAGTGAAAAATCACATCATGTTGCTGATTTATTTCATGTTGCTGTGTTCATTTGTGCTCATCTGCTCACACAGACTCATGTTTGTGCTGCTGTTCGGCGTAATGTTTTTATGCTATTAGTGCTTAGTGTATTTTTAGCTAATGCTTTTTTTAGTTCATATCTTACAAACCGGATTCCAAAAAAGTTGGGACACTAAACAAATAGTGAATAAAAACTGAATGCCATGATGTGGAGATGGCAAATGTCGACATTTTATTTGTAATATAACGTAGATGACAGATCAAAAGTTTAATCTGAGTAAATGTAACATTTTAAAGGAAAAATATGTTGATTCAAAATTTCAGTGTCAACAAATCCCAAAAAAGTTGGGACAAGTAGCAATAAGTGGCTGGAAAAAGGAAATTGAGCATATAACGAACAGCTGGAAGACCAATTAACACTAATTAGGTCAATTGACAACATGATTGGGTATAAAAAGAGCTTCTCAGAGTGTCAGTGTATCTCAGAAGCCAAGATGGTAAGAGGATCACCAATTCCACCATTGTTGCACAGAAAGAGTGCAGCAATACCAGAATGGTGTTACCCAGCGTAAAATAGCAAAGACTTTTAAGTTATTTTCATCAACCATGCATAACATCATCAAAAGATTCAGAGAATCTGGATCTGGATCTTGATTAAACTTTTGATCTGTCATCTATGTTATATTACGAATAAAATATTGACATTTGCCATCTCCACATCATTGCATTCAGTTTTTATTCACAATTTGTTTAGTGTCCCAACTTTTTTGGAATCCGGTTTGTACTTTTAGCTTATAGCTAGCATTTTACCACCTTTAGTTTTTAGCTATTGTTTTGCTTCTTTTTGAGCTAACTGTTTTAGCCCCAACAAATTTCAGCAAAGTCATTCATCACTCAACCATCACACTTCATTTGTGGAGAAAAAGCATTTTCCTCTAACTTCTTTCATGTAAAATGAATGTGTTTATAAAAAAATAAGTTGTTGGAAAAAACAAAACAAAAATCCTCCACACTAAATCTGGTCAAATCCTCAACAGTTCTTGTCTTAGAGAATTAGGACTTTTTGTTGTTGCCGTCAACAATGCGAGCACGTTCAGTGGGCTGATCCATCCTTCTGCACTTTCAAAGCTTAGACGAGACAACTGTGGGATCTGAACAGAAACGTTTGCTTCAATATAAACTTATACAAAAGTGAGCCATTTATCCAAATAGTATCCATTGCCTCAGCTCCATCTGCCTAACACACACATTTCCAGTCAATACATGTGTGCTACATTTCACCAGTGTCAAAAATCAGACATTTAGTGTGTTACACTTGATAAACAACAAGCATGGATCATTAACACTTGGGAGAGGGAAGAAAAGGAATGAAGAGCAACACCGTCAACAACAAGTGAGCGTCTCAGAGTAAAGTGAGCAGCCGTGAAGTTCACAAGTTGTTGGGTGTGTGAAAACTGTGACAGGATTGGTTTAACTCGTTGTTTGTTCATCTCAGGCTGCAGTTTGAACTCCGTTTGTTCCCAGTTTCAGCGCCACATGAGCAGTTTCCTACTTCTTTTTAATAATTTCTAGTAATAAACAAATAGGCAGGACTCTTCTGCACCTGTCCACAGGTACTTTGGCCCACTCCTTATGAGCAAACTGCTCTAACTGGCTCGGGTTTGAGCGGTTCCTTCTGACCAGTTTTAAACTCAAACCTCAGACTAGCCCAATATTATGTTCTTAATTGTTCTTGGACGTTTTAAACTTTTAGAGTCAATTTCCTGTTGATGTGACGGAGACTAAGCTTTCTGAAACAAAGCAACACGTTTCGCTCCAGAATGCCTTGATAGTCTTGAGATTTTATTGCAGCGCAGATTCAAAACAGCCTGTGGAGATGAAGCAAAGCAGCCAGAACATTACTGAACTGAAACTTGTTGCCATGAGGAAACTTAAATCCGTTTTATAAATTAAAAGCCATTTTAAATCCATTTTATAAGTAGAAGGAAAATAATCATTTTAGTTGATATAAATGTTTTAGATTTTATTGCTGTTCTGATTTTGCCACATTGCTTGTTTACTTGTATATGGGGAGTGGTGGAGCAGAGGTTAGAGAAGGTGAGCCTGTGAGCGGAAGGTCACTGGTTCAACTCCCTGGACCTACAACGTCAAAATATGGGTGGGATAGATGAAACATCCACACCTGTCTCCACCCTCATTTGCACCACTCTGGGCCATTGAGCAAGGCCCTTAAACCCCATCATCTGCTCCCTTGGGTGCCCTAGATAGCAGCTCTCTGCTCCACACAGAGGGCTGTGGTAGCTTGGTGGTCTGTGGTTGCGTTAGGAAAGGCATCCGACGTAAAAACGATCGCCAAGTCTTTGTGAGAGTTAGTTCACTGTGGTGACACCTGAGGAAGGGAGCAGCCGAAAGAAAAAGATTTTATATTTTATACAGTGATGAATATTATATTTATTGTTATGTCATGTATTGGCTGAACATGTTTCTGCCTCATGGCCACGTATCTTTACATTTTTATATATACATTTTTTAAATATATTTGTAAAAGGATATTTTTAATCTCACAGACTTTTACCTTGATAAATATACTATAGAGTCAGAGTGGTCTGCAAGATCAAACTCAATCTCTGCCTTTTCGTAACAACTTTTGCAACATAATTCAATTATCAAAAATTGCCATTTTAATACTACTGTATGTGGCAAATAAAATGTTGGTTCACCTCAGAACAGCTAGCATGAGTGTTTTGTGTGTGTGTTCTGGTACATGTCAAGAAATATCTGTTGCTATGATCACATTCCTTCTATATGATTTGTGGATAAAAGTTCCTGAAAAAATACTTAATTTCCAAACATTACTCTTTAAATTATGGGCTTATACCATAAAATATGTGTGAGAGACATGCCAGTGAGGCTGCAGGGTGTCATTAATGAGACAACATTATGTGGCAGTAAAATCTCTAACAGAACCTTTAAAACATTGAAGCTCAATACTTTTCAAACTATGTGCAAAACTACTCAAGAATTAAACATTTTAAATCTGGAACTTGACTCTTTGTCATTTAATTTCCTAACTAGTAAGCAAAATCTCCAGAGCTCTATGCTCAAGCAAGCAAAATAAATAAATTAATTAATTAATTTTTTTTTTTAAAAAAGGGGGGGGGGGGGCATTGTTTCTGTAATATACTAAGACCTTTATTGCCTAATTACCCTGAAAATTTTCTATTACAAAACTAATGCTGAGTTTTCCAAACTTTGCTAAGTTTTTTTTTAAATATGTAAGAATATGCCAGTTTTTACAGTATCTTAAAACATCATAACTCTGGGCATTTTGCAAAAAAATATATAAAAATATTTGGATGCCACATGTTTTTATTCTGACATTGATGACATTTCAGATAAGCACCTATTCAGACAAACTAAAAGATTTAGTGTAGGTGTTATTATAATTGATTGCTGACTACGGAAATGCTTACATTCCATTTTTTACATTTTCATACATCTTGACGCACAACCACAATTATAGTAAAATTGGAACATTGTGTAGAATGTAAATAAAAACAATAAGTTGTGATTTGCTAATCTGACAAAGCCATATGTCTTTCACAACAAATTATAGTACAAACCGGATTCCAAAAAAGTTGGGACACTAAACAAATTGTGAATAAAAACTGAATGCAATGATGTGGAGGTGCCAACATCTAATATTTTATTCAGAATAGAACACAAATCACAGATCAAAAGTTTAAACTGAGAGAATGTATCAATTTAAGGGAAAAATCTGTTGTTTCCAAATTTCATGGCGTCAACAAATCCCAAAAAAGTTGGGACAAGTAGCAATAAGTGGCTGGCAAAAGGAAATTGAGCATATAACGAACAGCTGGAAGACCAAATAACACTAATTAGGTCAATTGACAACATGATTGGGTATAAAAAGAGCTTCTC